TATTCTTTTCTCAACTTGTTCTTTTTTCATTTCACCTCTACCTCCTCCTTGTTGTCCTCTTCCTCTCCCTCATTGACCTCTTCTTCCATCTTGTCCCCTTCCTCCCCCTCATTGTTCTTCTCCTCTTCCTTTTCCTCTTCCTCTTCCTTTTTCTCTTCCTCTTCCTCGTCTTCCTCCTCTCCCTCCTTCTCTCCCTTTCCCTCCTCCTCTTCCTCCCCCTCATTGCCCTCTTCTTTCATCTCATCCACTTCCTCCCCCTTATTGTCCTTCCTCTTTCTCTTCCTCTTTCTCCTCCAAAATACTGAGGTTTAAATCTTAATCCACACCCTTCACATTCCTACAGGGTACTAGTCAAAAAGATGTGACATGTGAGACCTGCGGCAAGAATTTATCAGACTGCATTGGTCATTATGGTTACCTGGACCTTGCTCGACCAGTGTTCCATGTCGGCTACTTCAAGAATACAATCCATATCCTCCAAAATATTTGTAAGGTAAGTGTACCATGTCATGCTTATTTTGACAAGACTAGCATTTTGTGGGTTGGATGACTTTGCATTGCTTTGGGTTTAGAGGGGTCCGGAATAGGATGAAAAGAAGAAAAGAGTTGTAATTATGATTTTTACCTGTACGTGCTTCAGGTATCACATACTTATAGTATTCATAGTAGATATATAATTTTTTTAAATACCTGTGGTTTATGTTAGATATTGATATTATTATTATTATTGCTCTAAATGATTATCTGTGCTATTAAGAGAGTTTGTGTTATACCTCTTTCATTTACGTTTTTGTTCTTTAATAGACATTCTCAATTGCAAAAGAAACCAGTATATAGTAATAACTGAAGTATAATAATGCTTTTGTTGTTTAGTATTGGAATATTTTATACCTGAAGATATCTAGTCTCATTCATACCTTTTCCACATTTGTCAACATGGATATGGTTCATACCTGTTGTTTTTCTAGGATATGTAATTATGTCACAGAAGATTGCAGGATTTCTAATCACTAACACTTTCTACAAGTTAAATTCCATAAATAATCAAAACCATGGTAATTTATATGAGCCAGTATAAAACATTGTATGAGTATGTGTTTGAAGGTTTATAATAGTTTTTAATTTTTTGGATATCCACAGTTCTGTGCACATGTACTTCTCAAACCAAAAGATAAACTTGCGCTCTGTGAGCAGTCAAAGAGATTAAGCTCATACCTGCAGAAGAAGGCTCTATACAAGCGTGTTAATGAACTATGCAAGAAGATGAGCTTGTGTCCATACTGCAGCGCCAGAAATGGGACTGTGAAAAAACTGCCACCTCTCAAGATTGTTCATGAGAGGTTCAAAACAGTCAAGAAGGGGGATCCTTTGTTGACAGACTATTTCTGGAGTCCGTGTGTGTGTTGTGTGTTGCGTGTGTGTTGTGTGTGTGTGTGTGTGTGTGTGTGTGTGCGTGTGTGTGTGTGTGTGTGTGTGTGTGTGTGTGTGTGTGTGTGTGTGTGCGTGTGTGTGTGTGTGTGTGTGTGTGTGTGTGTGTGTGTGTTGTGTGTGTGTGCGTGTGTGCGTTCGTGCATGTGTTGCATGTGTTGTGTGCGTCCTTTGATTGAATATGCTTATAGTTTTTTTTGTACTTGTGATTTGGATAGAAATATGTTACACACAAACTTGTTAAAAGTTTATGAGATAAATCCAAATTAATTCCTCAGGATATCTCTTCAACTTTTGAAGTAACTAATCTCAGTTTTTCAGTGAGGAGGAAATTGAAATATTGTTTATTTTTCAAAAGATTTTCTTTCCCTCTTCATTTATTTCATACTTCTATACCTCCTCTGCACTACTCAATTTGACACAGCATTAGAGTACAACAAAGAGTTAGAAGCACAGCTGGCCTCCAATGTTGTGGAGTTCCTGAATCCTAGTCAGGTCCTTGATCTGTTTGAGAGGGTAAGTGTCCTTGTAGTGTGTTTGAATATTGATATATTAATCATATTTTGAACTTTTTTTTTATGATTTATTTTTATTATTCTTAATTTTCATGTTGTCTTGTCCCTAGTGGACTACAGTTTTTATATCTTTCTTAGCTCCCCAAAATGATAAATTGTTTTGAACCTCTATGGACGTAAGAGAGATGTCAACCATGTCTTTGCAATGATCAGTTTTACAATTTTAGGCTTTAATTTTTCATGTTAGTTACTAATTTGTGAATCCCTGTTTAATAAATGAAATGCTGATTACAATTTCATCATCATGGTCTTACTTATTTAAGGAGAACAGGAAAGAAACTTCAGGCTTTGCATAAGTGTTGCTACCAATAGCTGTACAAATACGGCTGTCGTCAGATTTGACTAGTTAGCTTTGATTTACTCTCTGACACAGAGAGTTCTAAATATACTTTACCCAATTAAAACTAGTACAAACTTATTTGATTAATTCTTCAGATTGGGCAAAGATTTTTTTGAAGTGTTTCCATTGTTGTTCTTTATCATTATTTTTCTCTTTTTTCTTTTGGAAATTACTGTTATTTATATATACATCTCATTTTGGCCTCCAGATTCCCCTCTCAGATTTGCCACTCTTATGCATGGACCAACAATTTTCGCATCCGAAGGACCTCATTCTTACGCGACTGTTAGTCCCTCCAAACTGCATAAGGCCATCTGTGATCTCAGAACTAAAATCTGGAACGTGAGTTGCTTGTGTGTATATGTGTGTGTGTGTAGTTTTATTCTATGTTTTATTTTTTAGTGGTACGAGGCCTACATATATATATATATATATATATATATATATATATATATATATATATATATATATATATATATATATATATATATATATGTATGTTTTGATTTTAAACAAACATTTAGTATTATTTTGTATGAAGTGGGTTTTGATTTACATTTGTATATATATCTGATGCATATTTATTTGTGTTGAGCCTGTGCATTTTTTTAAACATTCTTAAGGTGTATGTATAGCTGTGTTAATCAGATCATATAACCATACAAAGTATTATTCATTTTTAATGTTTTTTATAATAGTTTACATTGTCTCACTAAATCCTTTTATTTCAATAGTTTAGTGTAAAGCAGGAAGTCCAGAATGTACTTTTTTCCAGGAATGAGGATGACATTACGGTCATGCTTACTGAGATTATATTCCTGAACAATCTGATCAACAAGAGAAGCTCTGGGAAAGTGCAGAGCATCCAAGACTCTTGGGAACATCTGCAGCTTCATGTGGCATTCTTGATGAATTCAGAGATATCGGTGCCGCATGATCTGAATATGGTGAGGAACTGTTATATGAGTGTGTGGTCTGGGATGCGCTTAGGTTTTAAGGTTTGGTTGGGTTTGAATGACAGAGAGAGAGAGGAGTTGAAGAAATGGATTTATTGTGGTGGAGGAATGTTTTTGGTTTAGATGTGTATGTTTTATTTCCTCTTGAGTACTCACAAACAAACAAACAAATAATCATTATTATTTATGTGCTATGCATTGCAGTAGTGACATTCTGAGCTTGCACTCACACCATAGCTGGTTCAAAACCACTGCCAGCGCCAATGCCACCACCACCACAATCACAGATATTGTCACCACTACCAATAACCCCCCCACCCCACCCCCCAACCCCCACACCCATACACACACTCACAAGATATGTACTCAATTTATCTATTTATATATTTCAAAAATGAAATTTCATTCTCCCTCAGGCGCGGAAATCAACACGAGGGTTTGTCCAGAGGTTAAAGGGTAAGCAGGGCCGTTTCCGAGGTAACTTGTCTGGAAAGCGTGTCGATTTCTCCAGCCGAACTGTCATCTCTCCGGATCCCAATCTCAGAATCAATGAGGTTAGTGAAAACAAAAAAATTAGATGAAGAATTTAGATATGCAAGTTAAGATTATTGTTTCCTCGTTATAAGTATGTGAGTCTAAGAGTTATACTCATTAATAGCATATAGCTTAAGAAATATACACTATTATGTTTCAGCAGAACTGTCTCCCTGTTCACAGTTGTCCTTTATTTTCTCTTCATTCTATTTTCATCTCCCTTGATTCATCCTTCATCTCCTTTCCATTTTCTCTTCATCTACCTTGCATCTCTCTCCATTCATCCTTTATCATCTACATTTTCTCCTCATTCTTCCCTCATCTCTTTCCATTTTTCCTTCATCATGTTCTTTTTCATCATCTCTGTATTCTTCCTTTATCTCTGTTCTTCATTCATCCTTCTCAGATTCTCTTCACTCTCTCACCTCTGTCCATTTGTCCATCATCTTCATCCTAGTCTTCCCTCTCCCAGGTGGGTGTGCCAGTGGAAGTAGCAAAGCAGCTGTCTTACCCTGAGAAAGTGACGTCACACAATATCAACCTCATGCGTCAGCTGGTGCGGAATGGCCCAGACGTCCATCCTGGGGCCCTCTTTGTGGAGCCAAAGTCGACGCCCGGCATCAAGAAATCAATGAGATACGTGCATAGGGAGCGAATGGCCAATGAGCTGAAACAAGGGGACATTATTGAGAGGTATGTCTTGAGATCTTTTTTCCTTTTTTATATGTATGTTGTGGTTATTTGAATATATCTAGTGGTGTTACTAAGGCTTTCAAGTTACTCTTAATGGCTAAAGATGTGGGTAGTGTGCTTTCTGAATAATTTTATTTTTTTTTGTAGTATTTGTCTTTTTGTTTGTTATTAGCATTGAAGTATTTTTAAATGAACTAGTATCTAAACTATTAGTGTTTTTGTTTCCTTTAGAAAGCAAGAGTTCATGAGGATTCCAATTTTACAATAAGGAAGCTCTTGCAGGTTTTGCTTCATGATTAAAGCATGAAACCCTCATCTCACATATCTGTGTAAATATTAAAACTATTACCACTAGTGCACTCTCACTGACACATTCACACCATTTTCAGACAACTGACACTCACACTCACACACTCGTTCCCCAAAAAGGTCTTTAACCAAGCTTCCTTTCACAGACACCTGATGGATGGAGACATTGTCCTATACAACCGACAGCCTTCCTTGCACAAAATGAGCATCATGTCCCACAGAGTTAGGGTTCTCCCATGGAGGACCTTTAGGTTCAACGAGTGTGTCTGTACTCCTTACAATGCTGATTTTGATGGGGATGAGATGAACCTTCATGTGCCACAGACAGAAGAGGCGAGGGCAGAGGCATTGGTGCTCATGGGGGTCAGTACTCTGGGGTGTTGTTTTAGGAGAGGAGTGATGAATTTTTTTACATGTATTTTTTTATTTTGCATTGCTAAGGTTAGTGTTAGATTTTAGCTTGTTTTTGGTAAGTTAATGTGAAAGTACTCTAGCAGTCAGGGTAATGATGATAATGTTAGTAATGTTTGGAGAATTAAAATTTTATATCAGTAGTTTAGCCAGTGCATTGTAAATTAAGGAATTGAATCTCTTTATCGTTAAAGTTCATAGAAAAAGAAGTAGTGGGAGAAAAAGGAAAGAAAGAAAAAGATAAAGGAAAGCATTGTTAAAGATATAAAGAGTTCAAAATGGAAAAAATTAGGTACAACTAATATAAAACCTCTCAACTTTCCAGGTAACCTCCAACCTGGTGACCCCAAGACACGGAGCGCTCATCATTGGTGCAACGCAGGATTTCATCACAGGCTCCTACCTCCTTACACAGAAGGATCAGTTCTTTGATAAGGAACACACCTGTGCCCTTGTGGCCTCCATCTTGGCAGGGAAGGAATCTGACTATAAAGTAGATCTACCGCCTCCTGCTATTATGAAGGTATGAGAAGGGAGGGGGTGAGAATGTCAAGAACTGATGATTAATAATTGATAATTAATGATGAAGATTGATAGAGATGGCTTTTTGCACCTTTGTAGGTTCATTTGGTTTGCCTTCTACTGGTAAGAACGATAACAAATTAGGGTAGAAGGCGATCTATCAGATTCATTATGTTTTTTTTGTTTATTGGTTTTTGTAATTTATCCTTGTGATTTTTATTTGTTGTTTATTTTGTTTGTTTGTTAAAGCAGCAAGGATCCTACTATTTTACGTCGGAGTTATGAAAGACTAAATCTGGACGGAAAATGTCTTTACTCTAAAGTGGCTATATTATCAATATTATTACTGTAAAAGAGCCAAGAATATGCAGTTTAGTACAATCATGGTAAGTTTTTTATGGTAGCCCTCATAGATCTTACTAATGTGTCATCTTATATTATTCAGATATAGATGCCATTGAGAAGATTAAGGCATACGATCAATATCATAAAATTACCATAGTAATTGTTCACATATATTATAATCATACTTTCACTCCAAACCCCCCCTTTACCCATCAAGAGTTTTCGTGTAAAATAATTAGATATTATCACATTCGAATACTCGTATTCTAGGTTAGCATTCCTATATACCTTTCTACCCTCTTCACTATATGCATAAAGCCACCAGGAGCTCGAATGAACAGAGCATAAATCTAGTTAATATGCGAGATGCTGATCACTCAGCTCGGGAAGTAATCTTAATTATAATGTCTACCGCATAAAAATCCATATCACACCAGCCTGAGAGCGAGGGGACTAAACGCCAATTGGCCAATAGTAGACGCATGGAAGTCATATCACAAAGATAAGAGTGGATGTGAGCAGTATATGCTCGACCTAATGAGAAGACACCTAGGTGTGTGTATAACGCAGAGATAACACATCTCAGAGACTTACTTAATAGCTATTGAGGAGTCATATCGGACTGAAGCAAGTCCTTGGAAATAGACAATTTTAAGGTACGCAGGCCTCAAGCAAGGAAAGATCACCTATAGAAAATATATCTTTCATAACACGCGATATCGGTACTCAACAACGCGACTACGCGCAAGGAACATAGCGGCTCGCCCAAAATGCTAGCGACAAGGATTGGCCAGAGGTCTCCGGCCACACCAACTTTCCTATATCACATGAGAGCACAATGACCCGAGCTACACAGCACAGTACACGGAGTCTACCAACAACTATCACATTGCATTGCGGAGCACGAACTCTCGATCATGCCAGGATCAGGGCTCCTCACCAGGAAGCAGGAACTCCTTGATGAAGGGCTCTAAACACGAGAGCACAGCGGAGCACTCTTACGGTGACGACACAATCAATCTACACACACAATCAAGTTTCTTTATTTCATTGTTAGGGTTTGTGTTGTTCAACGCATAATGAAATCAAACAGGGATCTTTGATTATATACACACTATCATGTCGCATCAGGACCCATACATTCCATCATCACTACATCGACTCTCACTCGCTAATCAATGATCATCACTTATTCTCAGAGACAATATGCTTGTTTATGCAGTAAATCTATCAAGCACAACGCAAGATCATAGAGAGAAACAACTGCGCGACACAAAGGAGTTGAGCAAAAAGCATCTCATCACTCATCACACACAGGTGAGATCCTACATCTTATCAGTTTCTGAAATCATAGGTTTCCATTTTAGACAGAAGTCTTGAAGGCATGTATTTTATCTTGTATTCCATCTTAGCAGGTACAACGAAGTGTGATGAATTCATCTCTCAGCTAAAAGCACACGCGCAATTACAACCACACACACTATAGCACAACGCCACGCACAGCAGCCATGACCAACCTAGACCGAGGCAGACACCTTACAGCACGACCCACAGCTGATCCTAGGGACAGCTACACAAGTCACAAACCCATCCACGGAGACAAACACACAGGAGCTGACAAGTGCTATGCTGCTCATGGAGAGCGGCAGAAGACCAATGCAGCACTCATCAGGTGGGAGGGCCCTGTTCTAGAGCTCTGGGAGCTGCAGGAGCAAATCGCGGCCACGAGTCACTTCTCCTTTGGACACCCCACTTATCTCTGCTTGAGTTCTTGTGACACTCTAAACTCTCTACCCTGACGGTTCAACTCACTTCGTCATAATCTCTAAATGTATTCTCACATAGAGTATCTGGCTGTTTGTATATATATCGCAGGACTCAGCAGGCCATCCATAGAGATCACATGGTAATATACAAGAGAGTCCCCATACAAGAGATTTTTGAGGACCGAAGCATCATGCTCTTTCGCCGAGCGTACGCTGGATATCTGAAATTGAGTTGGTGGAGTTTTTGGCAATTGACGGATTGGACTTTGAGGAGGCAAGCTTAGAAAGTGGAGAGAGAGATTGTGCGCGAGAGGAGAGATAGAATTCCTGACATGAGAGTGTCAGAACTTCTAGAAAGAGATGATATGAAGACAGAAGATGTGGAGCGAGAATGATAGGTCGAGGAGATGAACCCATGCGTGTATGCAAAATATGTAAGTGAGTCAGTGTACAATAGAGATTTGTAAATAAACGGGTGTATATAAGCACCAGAGGTAGATGAATGTTTGTATGAGTCAGGTACAGCAGTTGTGGTCTCACAGCACGAGGAGCTCCTGTAGGCATAATGTAGGTTTATTCTAGTTGTGATACCTCAGAGAATCTTCTATAAATTCGATATATATGAAAGGATAGGTCTAACTATATCTCCTCAATAGCATGTATTCATAATGTTATTATTATCCTTTTATTTTTTCACCCAGTATAACAACATTCAAAGATCTGCCTCGCAGGTTGCAATGTTCTCTCGAGTGTGTACGATGAGCGCTCTCTTCTCGGACATTGAACAAACACCCATGCATTCTATCTCTTTATTTACTGCATAAATTACAGCAATCACCACGGATATATTTTCTTTTGGGCGACTCGCACTACCATAAGTGCTGCGAGAACGACCGGAGGCGCGCTCTGTTGGTTGAGGCATCTCCGGCTGTCCAAAGACCTTTTCTTTGATGATCTTGTGCTTATGTCTCTCTATTGTCGCGCGAGTGTCAATATCTGCGTAGAGACGAAGTCCAGAACGCCACCCTGTTACATTGTGGACTCGCAGTATGATCGAGTGTAATAGATGTGGAATATAACACTCTTTTTGAACACTGAGTCCCTGAGAAGAGAGAAAACAAAAAATGGAGATTTTGGTATCTGGTATAGATTTATTTCATTCAGCGTCAAGCTGATATAATTGATATTATTCTACACTAGTGTTTTTTGATGCTAGCGTTTGTATAGAAAAGAATTGTAAAAAATATTGAGACCAATATTATTAATTTCGTAATGGTACTTATTTTCTCTGTGTAATACTGAAAGTCTTTCTTGAATCTTGGGAGTATAGACTAAATTGGCATATATATCTTATGCCAGTCGCAGGGATATGTAAATATATGTATTCGTATACTTGTTGAGAGACTATATGGATAAGTCATACATATACAGTGATTTAATCAACAATTAAACGAATCTATATGTACGGTGCATCATTTAGAGATATTGGATACAAATTAAATGAGTAACTATGTCTATTGGATTATGTGAAATAAATTATGATATGTCTAGTGTATTTGTCGCGCTATCACACTTGTAGAGTATGAAGTAATCCATAACTTATCTGTGGAGGAGAAGTCACAAACTATTTTTATGCTTCGATCGGTAGAACGGTAGATAGATCTATTGGCGCCATTAAAAACACTAATTATCACCGATAAAACACGACAAGGCTATGATACTACATCACATATGAAAATAGACAATATACAGAGAAAAATAATACACACAAGTTTTTCGTGGCTGAGCCCCCGCCGGCAAGCATCAGCCACGAATGACACGATATATCTCAGGAAGACTCCACAGTGAGGGAAGCTCTGGCAGGCAAAAGCGCGCGCAGAGCGAGACGACAAAACCAGGGCGTGAACGGAAGGAATCACTTCAAAAAAAAATCGCGGGAACAGACCTCCGAGGGAAGACTCCTCGAGACACCAAGCCAAAACGAGACATACGGAAATATATATATGATCAGACTATGACCGGAAGTAATTTTGAGCTTTCTGTACGATACTGGTACAGTGATTTCTACACATGTATCGGGTGGAGAACTCGCTGGGCAAACATGCGGCGCGCGTGGGACATCGTTGTGTGTTATCGCAAAAGCTGCATTATCATTCAATACACACACGTGGATTACAAGTTCACGAGACGTCTCACAGTCGAGGATACTAAATGATCGATTATTCGGTGGATGAGCGCAAAGGTCGACTACATACAAAGACGAATATACATGCTAACGAATATATTTCGCTAAGAACGAAGCGTAGAGTATGCCCTCAACTAATCCAAGGGTTTACATTCTGTCATTCTCGTATGTGCCACTCTTTACATAGACACACAGAGGTTTACCCGCGAACTATCTTCATATTCCTACCCATATATCACCTCTGAAAGTCGTCTACTTTATCTTGCATCTATTGCGTTCTATTGCAGCGGCAACATGCAACTCCCACTCGCTCACAATACTGTCCCATCTCACGTGTCGAAGATGGGATAATAGAGGTGATGGTCTAGACCTCCACCTACTGGAAATAGGTACGGAGTACTATTAATGGTTGTCTCTCTTCTCATTTGACTCTAAAATTGGCGCAAGTCTGTCGTTGCATAGGGATGCATGTACGTGGACAACGAGACCGCACAAAATCACTATAATTCCATAGGTAGGATTGTCGGCGCGCCCAACACTATAGCAGCTCGTCAAACATAGCCGGAGAGATAGCTGCAGCGCTTATGGGTGAGGGAGGAGGGCTCAACCGTGCCTTGGGAAGCCGCTCTGGTACGCCAGAGAGGATCACTCGGACCTTGCAGGGTATTGCGGGCTCGAACCACCGAGTTCAATCAGAATGCAATCATCATGTACCCTCTCTCTGGATACATAGCTTATTCCCCACAGCTATGGCGTGGATAGGTGCACTGTTATTCTCTGCTTTTCGGTTATTCTCTCATCTCCTAAAATCGTTGAATAAGGCGCCTATATTCGCCAGAGATCTCTGCCTTACAGCCAGTTGCACGTATCCACGGTGTACTAACCGTGCGTTTCTTCCATGCGTCCTTCTTACTATTTCCCACGCGGGCCCTCCATTCCTCTTCTATATCAACTCGGATTAACCATTCTCTACCATTACTGTCTCACCTCCATTATACTCTCCTCCTGCTACTCTCTACTGCTTTGCATCCTAATAGGAAACACGCGCAAGCAAACAACACCAACTAAAAGATTAGTATGTAACTCTTCTCTCAGTATAGTACTACCTGGTCATCAAGTTGCAATGCATCAGCTCTAATATCTCAACAGCCTCTGCTCCCACACTACTCACTCTACGTGTGCGTGAGATATATACAATCCAGCTTCTAGTTCGAGGCAGCTAGAGCAGTAAGTCGGAGTATAGAGGCCACCAGCACAGTAGAGAGACCGATAACCAAGCTGGAGCGCCTAGACTATCTTACACAGCTCACTCTGACGCGTTTTATCTCCTATCAGATCGCTTACATGTACAGGGCGTCTTAAGCTAATGCCACACAAGAGTGACCGTAGAGGAATAGAGGACGCCGTTGTCGAGGGTAGAATATGAGCCAATACGATAGGGTGCTCATGGTGACACCGTTTGGCAGAGTCCGGCCATTCTGTTTGCCACTACAGATGAAACCCTTTCAGGAAGTTTGATCGTTTATGGCGAAGCATATGTTTAGCTCGGACGTGGGAGCTTGCAATTCGCAATATTCACTCGTCATGCCTAATATTCGTGGTTCGTGGCGCAAGCGTTTTGTTGGTGTGCTGTGATGATACTATCTTGAATACTCAGATATGTTGTCGTGCGTGGTGTAGAGTGATGAACTTACTTATGTACTTATTTTAACCCTTACATTGACTATTTAATACATGTTTTCAGATTAATTAGGATTTATAGTCTAATTTCCCGGATCATAATGTGCTCTTAATAGGTAATATATGTATAGGAGATATTGATGAGATGGAGTGAGAGCAATGCTAATTGATTGCTTTTGGACTTCGTTAGCACATATATATATTATATAATTCTATTTCAGTAGTCAGGCTAACTTAGGAGTTTCTTTTCTTATATATTACTCGTCCACTTAACTCGACTTGTATTTGCAGTACGTGGTGATGGGACTGGGAGAATCTAGAAATTTACAAATAATGACATTTTTCACTCTAGAAAAATAATCCTATAATCCTCATTAAATGCTTCTAACATTATTACATTATAAAAACTCTCTGCTAGTTACATTATCATTTTCTTTTCCTACTTATTACTAGTAATATATTATATACCTTGTACCCTTAGCACATATACTCGAGAAGTACACATCTCTATAAATACAATCGAGCTAGGAGCATCTCGCACTAATCATACTACGAGTTACCAACGTATTACCTTGCTCATGATAGATACGCATAACACACCTGGAATCTGAATTATGACAGGACTCTGACAGGGCATGGAGAGAATCACTCTCATCGGGAATAGTGTCTCAGCGTGCCACGCGGGTCTTATCAGGAATGAAAAAAAGAGGTTGCGCGAATGAATAGCCATGCCCTGCTTGCGGGAGGTATGTTGCGCGAGATACTATTGTATGTGAGAGTATGAGTGTTTCATCTGAGACGCTGATGATTTCGACTCACTCTTAGACTGTCGGTTAACCTAAATACTGGCATTTATAGGATGGGCATCAGCTTTCAAGCTTTGAGGTGGATGCGTACTACATCTAATTTATATAGTTTTTCTCCGGATACCCTACTTGCATCTAGTAAGCGCCAATGCATCATATACAAGAGGTAGAAAGCCGAATTCCATCTAATGTCCTTCATATCTTGTGGTATAGTTGGCATCATCAGATCCCTGAGGCGATTATATATCTTTCTTATACTTATGCATCATTTAATCTATCTCACATATCTTTCCACTTCTCTACAACCTAATCAACATTGTCACTCTATCATAGTCATCGAGAGTCTATCGCATGTCGACCATTGATTCTACTTGTCTGATCATAGTCTATCGTCTCTAGCTATTCAACATCAGATCTTCTTGTCATTCGCTGGCTACCTTTAAGAGATAGATAGTGTCCTATAATAGTCTTTGTCTTATAGAGTCTCTCTAGTCTCTCGATAACTCTCGTCCTATATAAGATTTCTACTTGTCATATGGTCCTGTATTGTCTTAAGACTTGTATACTGGTAGTCCATTGTCTATCGATATATATATTGATTCATTATGTCTTGCATCCTAGAGTTTCTTATCTATGTCTATACTTTGTTAATCCTATGTTGCTAGCTAGTTCATTCTCTTTATGTCTTTGCTCTTTGTTCAACTCAGTTCCTTAGATCCTTCTGACTCTCTCGCATATGCAACTTTGGTCTAGAGAGTCTTGTATAATATAGAACATATGATATATATAGATGGCTATAAGCACTATGCCGACACACTATCAATCATCTCAGCAACTCTATTGATCAATTGCACATTGTCTTGTCTAGATCCTTTGATTCATTGTACTCTAGATGCGATGTACTTAACATTTAGTACTCGAATCTTCCGATCTATATGTCTCTGGATCTTAAATACTACTATCGTCTGGTGTATACCTTGTCCTGTCTATAACGTATATATAATATTATATATATCATTTCTCCTATATTATTATATTAATATAAAATATACTTTATATATTTATTATTTATATATATATATATATATATATCTTATATTCTCTTATTATTATATATATATTATCATTTGGTTCTATAAATTCCATATATAATAATATATCTCTCAACCTTATATTATTACGAATTATAATTAAAGTACACTTATAAGATCATTCGCATATAGCTCCTTGATACAATTCGTCTTAGTATCATTATGATCTTTCTTGCTCTTCTCAAATCTCATTATATCTTGTTCTTCTCGATCTTGATACCTATGTCTTTGTTTGTCTTAGTCTGAATCCATGTATCGCATACTCTCAAAAAGTATTCTTCTCTAAGCTACTCACATCAACCAAATCTGTATCTGTAGTGCTTATCGTACACGACAATACCGTACAATTTGACCAAAAACCACTGGTCAACCCAATCATATTCAGGTCTTATATACAAATAAATTAACATCTCTCATCGTTAGGTAACTTGATTAACATACACACGTCACATTACACTAGTTTACATTGGTGAGTGCACCTCATCGTTCACTTCTTCTTACCTTCTACTCTTACTCTTCTGTGCATGAGGCCTCTTCACAGGTTAAACTCGTGGAAGTGAGGTATGGAAAAGAAGGAGGGCACTATGTTAAGAGAATCTACTAGTGTGAGACTATCACATGTATGCCAAATAGATACGCGTTCATAGAGTTAGGTGCTCTTTTGCATAATTTTGTTTGCATGTCATCTTATTTTCATGTTTGAAGTAGGTGTTACCGGTGCAATAAAAAATATGAATACTCTCATGGTTGGAGTGGGTTGGTGTGACGTGATGATGTTTATATATACGTATTTTCGTGAATAATCGTGAATAAGCTGATCAGGTATAGCATGAAGTAGAGCTAGATTGTAATAAGTCGGTTTCTTTAGTATATAAATAGGCATTAATATGTGTCACATATACATATTCTGTTGCTCATGAGTTGCACTTATGACAATATAAATTCATAATGATAAATATTTATATACGCTGTTGGTATTTAGATATATATAGTCAATATGGAAGAAAAATTGATAGCACAAGTTATAATCCCATATGAGATGCTTATGATTTTTATAGTAATAACTTTTTTGATATTCAAGAAAGTAACCAGCTGTTTGTTTTTATGAATGAAGGTAGAAAGAGCATTGATTAAATATTTTATTATACACATTAACATATATGTAATCTTTTATTTTTATGTTTATGGGTAACCCGATTTTTTCTACTGAATTGGCTCTATTAACAAAATCCTTGATTTAAGTATTTATAATATGACCAGAATATGCATAATAAAGATTAATCTATAACTATGAATTAATATAATTTAAGATTAAATAGTCATGGCAGAAATACAAAAGACATTACATTGGCTTTATATAAGCTAAATTATTAAGTCTTATATAACTTATTATGATATTATACTAGTATTAAGATACACAATAAATTATAAAATACTATCAAATGTGCAAAAACAGAAGTAAACTAAATATTTGTCTTTATAATATTATACTAACCATATATCCATTATATTATATATATATCACTGACTAATTTTACCCTTGGCCCACGAGAGGTTGATAGGTTGTCATATTTTGATTGCCAAAATTTTAGATTCAAATGATATTTATAGTCAATCTGCGAACCTTATTGCCTTCTAGGTTGAACCCACCCACTTATCACCCTTCCTATCTCCACAAGACACTCTTCCACATAGCCTTATGAACTAAATTTATTATTATTATTTGTTATATTGTTTTAGTAGTTGTTATATTTATTAGTTATATTATATTATAAATATATATTATTAATTATATTATTATTATTATTAATTATTATTTATTAAATTATTTATTAATTATTATTATAATTCATCAATATATTATTATTTATTATTTATTATTAATTATTTCATTTATTATATTATATATCATATATAATTATTAATTATTTATAATATTATTAATTATTAATTATTATTATTCTTTATATTTTATTATAATATTATTATTATTATTTATATAAATTATTATTAATTATTATTATTATCAATATTATATTATAATTAATTATTATATTAATTATTAATTATTTATTAATTATTATTATAATTATATTATATAATTAATTTATTATTATCATATTATATATTCATATTAATTATTATATAATTCATTATTAATTATTATTCATTATTTTATTATTATTATTATTATTATTTATTATTATATTATTATTATTATATTCATATTAATTATACATATAATATATATCATAGTATATATATACATCTATATTATTTATTTAATTATTATTTATTACATTTGTTGTTGATTGTTGATTGTATCCTATGGTATAGTTATTATGTTGTATTGTCCTAGTGTTGTTTATTTATTATGATATTTTCTTTTTCCTTTCATTTAACATCAATTGCATTAATGTTTTGTCATTTCGTACATTATATATTATGATTTCCAATCAATAATTAGTAGTAATCCAGGGCTCAATTACTACTTATCACACACATATAACAGTAAGAATGTTTAGAATCGTAACCTGGGTTAATATTTTTATTTTTACGTATTCAACATCACTGTTATCAACAATACTTATATCATCAGGTATTATTTGTTATTCCCATTACACATCATCAATTACATTACTCATTACATTAATTACACTATCATTTTTATCATTGCTATCATAATTTAACCATTATTAATATGATTACTTAAGGAGCACCATATTACCCATATTAGAGTTAACAAGAATTCATAATTGAAAATGGATTTACCTCTTCTCCCCAGAGGTGGGATGGACTGTGTATCGAGGAGTACAGTACACCTATCCTACTTGTCCGGTACATTATATATATCATAATATTATATACTACTTATACTTATACTAAAAGACCACACTAAAGTGTCCGTCATAGTTTTTCCAGCGCAGCACCATATCAAGCTACAGTCAACATCTACCTAAAAGCAGTTCAATATTCGCATCAAGGTTGACTACTGCCAATCCGTACATATCGGAGAGCTGTCCTCAAATCAGAGTGGGTGCTGGAACTGTAGAGATATTTTTTCTTTATACTTTATCTTCTCTGTAGAATATGAATGCCGATTTTCTGGTTTGTCACTATTATATATATTATTTTATGTTATTTTATTATTATGTTGATAGTTTGTATATAATATTATAAATAATAATAATGTTAAATGATATAATGATAATGATAATGATTCAAATGGTAATGATATATGAATATTCATGATAATATTGATATATGAGATAATTTAATTGGTAATGGGTAATGGTAATGGGTTAATATAGAGTTATGAGTATTATTATTAGTAATGGTTATTTGAGTTAAATGGTATTAATTTAGTAAAATTGGTTAATTAATTATTATGGTAATAGGTAATTATTATTAATAGGTAATGGTTAAAAGAGTAATAGATAATGATAATGATATTAATATAAATCTTGAAAAATATATATAATTATTAATTTAGTTTATTTAAATATAATGTGCTATTTTATATTTATTAATTAATGTTTATTTTGTTATTTTTAGTTATTATTATCTTATTTGATTTATTATATGGTTAGTTTGGTAGTTTTGTAGTTGTTTGGACTTAATATAATTATATTATTATTATTTAATTATATTGGTATCATAATATAATGTATTTATATATATAATATTAATTTAATTTAATTATTATTATTATTATTATTATTATTATTTACTTATATATTATTATAATTATTTAAATTATCAATTTATATTATTATTAATTAATTATTTATTAATTGTAATTTCCTAATTCTAATTATAATTTAATACTTTAATTAATTAACTATTTACTATTACCTATTTTCACTAATTATCTATTTTAATTATTACTATTTATATAATTTAAAACTATTACAATTTAACTATTTAAATTTAATTATTTATATCATTATCATTATCATTATATTCAAATTATCTATATATATTTTATCTATATTTATCATTATCCATTATACAATTTATACATATATCATCTCCTTTACTTTCTATACATCTTACTCATTATTCTCTCTTCTCATTCTCATTCTCATTCTCATTCTATGCTCATTTCCTATATTGCTCATATATCTCATATTCTCCTATTACTCTATATCTCATTCTCCTAGATTCTCATTAATCTCCATTATCTTACTTATATATTCTCAATTCTGCATTCTCATTATTTCTATATTTCAATTTCATTTATTTCATTTTTCATTTTCATATTTTCATTTTCAATATATTATGTATTTTGTTTTGTATTTGTTTTTGTTTTTTCAGTATTATTTTGTTTTATGATATTTATTATTGTTTTTAGTTTTTGTTTTTTGTTTTTGTTTTTGTTTTTGTTTTTTGATTTTTATTCAATGGTAATTTTGTATTTTGTTTATGTTTTTTGTTTTTTATTGTTCTATATATGTTTTTTTTTCATTATCATCATCCAACCATCATTACCTTAACCATTTCGACTATATATAATCATTATAACACCAATTACAATCATATCATATTCGATCTCACCATTCAATACAATCATCATCATGGTTATTCAATTATCTCATTCTTTTACGATTATATATATTACACTAACTCATATATCATTCACTCTACCACCCTACTTTCCCCACCACCACTCACTATTATTACATAATCAAGCACATCATCATCCATTCTCATCCATTATCATCAATCTAATCAATTATATTCATATCACAATACATACATCATCATTCATCATCTAATCATCATCAATCATCATCTATACATCAATCATCAATACATCATCATCATTCATACATCATTCACCAGGTAATACATCATTCATCATCATCTCTAATCAATCATCATTACATTCAATTCATTATCATTTCATCTAATATTACATCCATAAAATTCCAAATCCTCATAAAAGAATAAATAAGGATAATTATCCATCAATAAAATATCCCTTCAATATCCATCAAATATACTATAATAAATCATCATCATCGTTTTTATTATTTTCATTGTTATTATCACTATTGTTATTTTTCATTTGATGCTTATGAGTACTGTAGTCTGTGCATGTGTATGGGCATGTTTTGTTCTATTGCTCCCCATGTGAGGTTTTTATATATAGAATTTTAGGGGGTTTTCTTTGATCATGTTTGTTTGCGCATGACTGCCCTTGGATTTGGGCTGGTCTAGGGAGGTACCTCTTTCTCATCCTGGAATTCCTCTCTAATGCAAACAGAATGACACGAGTGGGGTTTCCCAGTACGAACTGCTTGTGGAAGGGGACAACTTGCAGGAAGTCATTGCAACCTATGGTGTTGATGGCACACGTTGCACCTCAAACAACACGTATGAAGTCTTCACCTCATTAGGGATTGAGGCAGCAAGGTTGGTTGGATGGATTCTGTTTTTAGTTGGAAATGTATTTTGTGATGATATCTTTCTTTGATGCTTCTAGATGATTGTTAGTTTGATGTAAATTTATGTATGGATTAATGTCTTGAAATTCCTGATTGATAATGATAATAATTTGCCTCATATTTATGTTCTTTTCTTTTGTATTTGGCTTCTTTGTTTCTCATTATTAGTTTCCTTAATAGCAAAATATTTGAAGTACCTCTTTTTTTCTATCAGTATTTCTGATTCAGATAACAAATGTTTCCATTATTAATCTTTCTCAAGGTTTATTCGTTCTGTCTTTCTCTCTCATAGAGCAACAATCATCAAAGAGATCACAGTGACTATGGAGACTCACGGCCTGAGTGTGGACCACAGGCATGTAATGCTACTGGCTGACTTGATGACCTGTCGTGGCCAAGTATTTGCTCGGTTATCACTCGCCATGGGCTGTCCAAGATGAAGTCAGATGCTTGATGCTTGCCTATTATGGTATGTATTGCATTGCTTTCGTGTGTCATTATATTAATTTTATGGATATCTTTTATTTTTAATCCAGTGATGCCTAGTAAAAAATTGTCTAGCACTACTGGGAACTGTAGGAACAGTCCACTTGATCTTTGCTATGTGCAGCAGGCCTAGCAACTTTAACTGTACTTGATGTAATGGCAAAGTATCTCATGACAAACATAGCTTTACCTGTCAGCATAAGGTTAAAAGGTTTTAAACAATAGATCAGGGTCTGTAATACAGAGAGTGGAGAATAATATTGTGCATATTACATTGTGTTCTAATTTTAAAGGGGGTATTGTGATCCATAGGAACACAAAAAACAATTATCACAAAAAAGAAGACATTCTTATGTATATAGTAAGAACATTCTTATTGGCTTATCACCTCTATTTATGCAGTTTGAGAAGACAGCAGACCAC